GATCAGCCTCACCTCAGGCGCCGGCCAAGACTGAGAAGGAGGAGGAGAACAAAAAGAAAAAGAAGACAAAGAAGAGGAGGAAGGGGCTGAAACTGTTGGGGTTTTTTAGCTGTGTTAAACCTCAGACAGAAGATGAAAATCTGAGCCAACATACTGAGAAGCCGTCTGCTGGTGACTTCAGATCTGGTGATATTATAGAACGTGAGTATTAAGATACAGCCTCAGAAGAACTAAACACCACAGAGCACAAATGCAACAACATGATTCTGTTTTTATTAGGGCTGCAGCTAACTGTTATTTTCATCATCAGTTAAACTGCAGGTTGTTTCACTCATTTACAAAGTGGCCTCTTCAGTTTGCTTCTTTTGTTCAGCCAACAACCCAAAATCCAAAGACTCTTCATTTATCATCACAAATGACATGGGAAAGCAGCAAAGTCCTGCATTTAAAAAAGCTGGAACAAGCAGATGTTCCCTTCATTACATCAGGGGTAGTCTATTTAGTTTCACTGCAAAGGGTTAAAAAATGTACACGTATTATTTGCTATAAAATGTGATCCTTTCGGGGGCCTCCGTTACACGTGTTGCTGGATTTCGGCAGGGGAAAGAGACGCCTGTCTCCAAGATACAGCACTTAAATTTAATGTGCACTTACTTCTCTGTTGGGTAACACTAACAAAACCGGGTATGAAGCGGCCCCAGGGCTAAATAATTAAAGATGGTTGCAGCATGCTTTCTGAAGTGAAAATGTTTTATTCTTTTCATGCACAAGTTGGTGCCTTTGTTAGGGACAAAATTAGTGGGCAGAATGGACCACCATTCAGTTGATTAATCTTCTAATCGTTGCAGTTCTAGTTTCCATCTGTCAGCCAGTGATAGTGTCATATATTTTTCAGCACTGCAACAATTTGACAATTGCACAAAATGAATTGGCTATCGTTTAATAAAAGATCAATCATGTCAGTCATTTCTCAAGAAAAAAAAAAACAACTAAAATTCTCTGGGCGATGATTTCACACTTTTCGATTATATTCATGGCTTGGATGATTGATAAAATAATCAGCAAATTACACTGATGATGAAAATAACTGTTAGCCCTCATATACTAGAGTAAGGACTTTAAATTTTTTTTTACCAAATTACAAAAAACATCAGAAATCAGGACGAGTTTGTTCTGACATTTGAATCCTGCTTGAAATAAATGGAGCCTTTTTCAAACTCTTGCATGACGCAGTTTCTTTCACCTCCCCACGTCATCATAAAACCTGCCGCATCATCTTGTTTTTGTACTTTTGCCAATATGCAAATTCATTTTCAGCTTTTTAAAACTGAGTCAAGAAGGTTAAATGTCGTTAACATGCGGCCGCGGGTTGTTTTACTGATGTGTGTGCCAGCAGGCATTTACGTTGCAGACTATGACTCAGACTTTCACTTTGACGTAACACATCATCGTTTTGGGGATTTTTTTTTTTTTTTTTTTTGTTTAAGATACAGGCTTGGACTTGTGGCTGTTAACACTTGTGTGTGTGCTCATGCCCTTTTCTTCTCCCTAAATGTTTAATGTGTGTGTTTATTATTTCTTTCAGCTAAAGTAAAAGAGGAGGACGAGTTGAGCACAGTCGCAAGTAAGCTGACAAAGATCGCTGATGACATCCCGTTCATTCCTCCAGAAATAGAGACAGATGCACCAGAGGGTGAGTTTTGGTTTCCTCCTTACGGAATAAATTAACACTCAGTGTTTTTTAAGTGAAGATGCGCAAAAACAATTTTTAGATTTTTCTCCTGAACCTCTTGTTTCAACCTGATGAGTGCCTCCAAATTGCAACGTAAGGGGCCGTGCACATGCATCTTCAAATTCGTTGTTTTTAAGGAAGACACACAGGCGCGCTTAAACATCAGAGCGACACTGTGGCACCACAGCTGTGCCCTGAGATAAACTGAGTTCAACTTTTGGAACGCAGCAGCGTCGCTGTCTGTTTGTTTGTTGACAAAAGCATCTCCAAGACTAGAAATTAGAATTTCACGCTGCAGAGCTTCAAGTACTGTTGTCAGAAATCATCAGATGCAAGTTTAGCAGCGTCATTCACGGTGTCAGGGGACCCAAAATAACTATTACAATGGCTGTCAACTGCATTTTATCACAGAACAGCTCTGAAACAAAAGTAAATAATGGTTTAACATGAATTTACGTGACGAGGTTTGAGAGGCCAGTGTACCAGAGACTTGCTAATCCTGGTGGTTTTCTTATACTAAGATGTCAGCTGATAATCATGTGTTCTGTTGTGCAGATGTGAATGTGGAGAGAGTGATTGGCCTGCTGCTGAGGGATGCTGGAGACAGACTGAACGAACAGGTAAGACGCAACGTCTCCTCTTACATGAAAACCTGCATAAATAAAATAAATAAGTGTTGCAGCGAGCAGTTACTTAGCTACGTGGTATGAACCTGCTGTGGTTGCTTCATGACGTTAGCTTTTTATTTATCAATAAAAAAATACTAAACAGTAAAATGTTTCGTGTCTCCATCAGGAGCTGAAGGATGCCAACATCGCCGCAGAGCTGTTCTGGAACTACAGTTTCTTTGAGAAACTAATGAAGGCCCTTCTCACGAGGATGGGCCTCAGGAGCCCCAACCCTGACTCTCCGGGGCCTACGGGATCTCCCAAAAGCCAGATTGCCGTGACTTGTGAGGTGAGACAAGCTTTATGGTGTTTATATAAAAAAAAGACTCAAGTAAAAAGATTGTAAAACTGACTAACTGTTGAACATGTGTGCATCTCTGGCAGGTCACCAGTCGTCTGTCAGCGGTGAGCTCGCTGCCCAGGAACCGACTGCTCGATCACGGAGCCAGATATCTGCAGCATTACTACTCACCATGGGTACAGGAGCTGGGCGGATACGTACGTGAAACACACACACACACACACACACACACACACACACACACACACACACACACACACGCTGTTAATATCGCCTTGAAACAAATTAGTGTGGACCATAAGCCTTTTAAATTTTGTTCACAGGAGGAAGCCTTTTACAGCGACGATGAGGACGACTCCTGCTGAGCAGAAAGAAGTGGCTGTTTTGAGACACAAGGAACAAAATCACACTCAGGAAACACTGTATTCTGCCACGCCAGTTTACACGCACGTCAAACCCAGACCTGACGACCGTTAACATATTTGCATGCTTTAGAAAAAAATACGAAAATATGTAATCATGTCAGTCTGGGTTTTTATCTTCATGAATAATGTTATTGTTCAAGTCTTTGTTTTGGAACAATTCTTTTAGAAGTCTTATGTCAGGTTCATACTACTAGATGTCAGCCTGATTTTAGCCTGGCGCGGTGTCGACATGGATCGTGAACGACGGCGAATGTCGTACAGGATAATCCATCGTTTCATCACGTGTAGTGTGTCATAGTAGACGACATCCGACACCATGATGTCCCGACAGAGACTCCAGCATGTTTCATTTTCTTTTTGTAAATGTAGCTTCTGCCATCTGGTGGCGCTTTTATGTTACTACAATAACAGTTCAGCTGACGCATTAACAGACAGTGATCACACCCGACATTAAAAACGACCAGGGACGACTGGTCTGTGACGTCTGTCGGTAAAGTCACGGCAATGACTTCACAGTCTCCTAATGTGACATAGTGACTGTCGGTAAATGTCGTGTAGTGTGAACCAGGCATTATGAGGACCGTGAACCGAAGAGGAAACTATCTTCATGTCACTGATAACTGTTAAATGTGATTTAATAATATGTAGTTTTCTTCTCAGGGACATGCAGGTGACCTGTAGCAATATTTAATCAGCATTAATATTTGTTCCTGGAGCTTGGTGGACAAAATCTGTATTGTATATTTTCGTAAGACAAATGTATTATCTTTCAGCACTCGCACTTTTTTATGAAAATGAATTTATATGTTTGCGAGGGATGCGCCAAGTTGCTTAGCTGTAATTGTTGCTGGTGTTTTCTGCATTTCAATTTTTTTTTTTACTTTTTTCAAAAGATGCCAAAGAAACCTTGTCTGTGCCGCCTGAATGTTTTAATTTAGCTACAAATGAATGCTAATGTGACTCAGAAATAAACTGTATTTGTTATTTAATCTCAGTTGATATCAAGTGGTCCTTGCTCAGTGATGTATTTAATTTTTTTCTAAATGTTTGTCGGTACAGCAATAAAATAATTAAAGGGCATTTTATATCACTATATATTACTGTATTTATGTCACAAGAAGTATATGACACATTTTAGTACAAGGTGGCCATGTATGTGGGGAAACTATGCAATACACTTACCTAAATTGTATGGTGCATGTATAAAATGACCTTAATAAAAGAACTTTACGTAATTTTAATGCACATGTCCCTCATTTTCCAGACCTAGTTGTGCTCAATAAAATATGTTTGTGTGACAACATCACCTCCCTGTGTTTAAATGAGGGAACTGCACTTTGTACTGCCAACAGATCCCAGGCAAATATTCTATCATTTATTTTCTTTATCGATTTTCTTTATTTTTTACCGAATTTCCCAGCGTTTCCCAAAGTGATAAATTCTTATATTAGATTTTGATTAATTCGGCATATTAATATAATTGGTAATAGCATTTTCTTTAATTTAAAATCAACTTTGAGCTTTGGTTTACCGTTTACAGGAAGTTAGTTCATGGGTATTCTGCGTAGAGACAACACCATAATAAAAGTTGAAAACTTAATTATATGATGGCTTATAACGGATGTTATTTATGCCGAATCAAAGAGGGGGATCTCCTTAATTCAGAGAGTTATTTAAATCAAGTTTGCTAACTGATCACGCGTCCTGAAATCCAATCATCTTTAAATTAGCATTTTTTTAAAACGGAGTTTGGCGCGCACTCTTTCTTAGCGCGTGCCGCTCAGCTTGCTCTGTTGTGTGATGTCTCGCGGTGAAATGAGATCCAACCCGTCCCCGTGCACACCTCGGACTGCCTCAACCTGCTTACCCACAACAAACCCGAGCGCCAGGAGGACTCGGCTCATCAGTCGGTGTCATCAATGACGTCTCACCTGTCGGTCACTCTTCAACAGGCTGCACCTCCACTTGTGCGTAATGTTTAACGCCGTTCACCAGGGTCGCAAATACGTCCCCACGCGCTCGTCGGTCACGGATGACTCTCCATTACCCGTGCGGACTGTTCTCATCAACAAATCCCCCGGGACGCTGAGCGAGGCAGCGGAGGCTACTTGGCCGTCGCCGGGCGCTAAGATGCGGATCTCTAAAGCCAGCAAGGGCGCGGTGGTGGTGCGGGCGGTCCGGAGGCACCCTCCGTCTCCTCAGCCGGCCAGACTGGAGAGCCTGGAGGCGGCGTGGAGTGAGAGAGCGCACCCGGAGGGGAAATCACCGGAGATTTCACCGAGCCATGACGGGAGAGACAGCGAGCCAGGAGCTGTCGGGAACGGGATGGAGGGTCACGGAGGAGGACCACCGCGGGCCAGGAGGAGGGGGTTCAGACCCCCCGATGTGAGGACCATCTTCTCCCCCGGAGAGAGGGACCCCAGGGTGAAACAGGAGTCCGGGGAGGGACACACCTTCGAGCCTGGAGGCGGGAACACCTGGTGTGATGTGTGCTGCAGCTACATCTTCCAGCATGGTCTCACCTGTGCAGGTGAGTCTGAGATGAGGAGCCCCTTCAGAGCATGACTCATCAAACTATCATTCATAAGCATTAAAGGGTGTGTAGTTCAGCTTATATGGAAATTTAGTATTTACTTGACAAATTTAATACTGAAATCCAACCAAACATTATTTTTTCTCTTTCTAAAAAATCATTCAAAGACTTTTTATTTTTCTATTTCTTTTTTATGACTTGCAATTTTTAAATTTTATAATATTAAAATCAGTTGCAACACAAGGTCTACGTCGTGCTCCCCACCCATAACCAAGAGGGGTCACCCCACCTATAGAGTGGATCACACATCATGAACACACTATACACTTTATTAACCACAGACACATGACACAGCACAATACATACACTTCTGTAAATAAGCCAGAAGGGATATGTATCTGAAGAAAATTGGAAAAGAAGAAATAATAAATGAATAAATTAATTTATCAATAGATAAATAAATAAATAAAAGTTAAATAAATAAAAAAGGATAAATAAATAAATATATAAATAAATAAAAATAAATAAATAAAAATAAATAAAATAGATAGATAAATGGATAAATACACAAATAAATTAAAAATATAGATAAATAAATGAATGAAAATAAAATAAATAAAAATAAATGAAATACATAGATAAACAAATAAAAAATAAAATAAATAAAAAATGAAAATAAAATGAATAAAAATAAATAAATTAGATAGACAGATTAATAAATACACAAATAAATTGAAAATATCGATAAATAAATGAATGAAAATAAGATAAACAAATGAAATAAATAGATAGATAAACAAATAAATAAAACTAAATAAAGAAATGAAAACTAAATAAAAAAATAAAAATAAACAAAATAGATAAATAGAAAGATGATAGATAAAAATAAATAAATAAATGAAAAGTAAATAAATCAAAATAAATGATTTAGATAGAAAGATGGATAAATATACAAATAGATAAAAATGAACAATGTCGCTCACTGGGTATTTTCTCTTTTTGGGATCATCCTCTGTAAACCCTAGAGATGGTTGTGCTGAAAATCCCAGTAAATACTCAGACCAGCCCGTCTGGCACCAACAACCATGCCACGTTCAAAGTCACTTAATCACCTTTCTTCATCATTCTGATGTTCAGTTTGAACTTCAGCAGGTCGTCTCCACCACGTCTACATGACTAAGTGAATTTAGTTTTCTGCTGAAAATCTTTTTGATTTCGCACCTACACAAAGTATGTCCAGAAACAACTTCACGGTGTAGTGGTGAGCATTGTTTCCTCACAGCAAGAGGGTTCCTGGTTCAAATCCAGGAGGGAGTTTGCGCATTCTCCTTGTGTCAGTGTGGGTTTCCTCCTGGTACTCCGGCTTCCTCCCACAGTCCAAAGACATACAGGTTACTTGGTGACTCTAACTTGTCCATAGGCGTGAATGGTTGTCTGTCTCTATAGCCCCTTTTACACTGCCAGATTTTCCGTGATTGTTAGGCCGTTTTGCCGACAAGCTGTGAGCGTTTAGACACACAGAGCCGGATTGGCAAGTTGATCCGAGGCGCCCAATTTTCCGCCTCGTAGGGTAGACATATTGGCGGAACCTTTTTTGGTTTAAGAACGAGGCGCCCTTCCGCCACAGGGGGGGCTGTTGATGACTTGTGGGAGGAGCTGTTGATGACGCCACACGTGTGACCCACTGGTGGTGGACTAACAGGAACCAGCAGGAATGAGCAGCTAGTAGCAAGAGGGAAACACAAACCTGACAGACACTGTAAAGATGAGCAACTGGGGAGACAAGGAATTGCGCGCCCTCCTTGTCCTCGCAAACGAAGAGGCCATTAACCTTCAAATAATGGGAAGGGTGAGGAACAGGCCAACTTACAAGAGAATCGCCGAGGGACTGACCAGCCGCGGCTTCCCTCCCACGTCACTGTTTTCATCACACGCTGAGCTACACATTTTATTACTTGCTCACGCCCCCCATTGCTAAAACTACTGCCAATGCTGAAAGAAGACTGATTGGGCTTTCCTGCAAATTTGCGCAATTCCCGTTTCAAAGGGGCTTACGTGTCAGCCCTGTGATAGTCTGGTGACCTGTCCAGGGTGAACCCCGCCTCTCGCCCAGTGTCAGCTGGGATAGGCTCCAGCCCGCCTGCGACCCCTAACAGGATAAGTGGTTACGGAAAATAAATAAATGAATGAACTCCAAAAAGCTGTAAAGTAAAGGGAGGAAAGATAGAACTAGAAACCACAGGACGAGGTTTACGCTGTATTATGACGTCCTGGAGGAGAAACAAAGTCATTAGTAGTTTGTTTAGGAACTCAGACCTGACCAGTGAATAACTCTGCTTGATATAACTGGAATTTTATTTTCAACATTCATTGATTGAGGATTCTAAAGAGGAAATGCAGCAGGTGTGGTTGAACAAACATTTAGAGATGTTATGTTTGACTAAACGGGATCTGTTTCGATGTAAGAATGGGAAAAGTGAAGGAAACAGTTCTTATCAAAGTGGCAACGTCACTTTTAGGTATTCCTCTGTGACATGCACTGAGAGCACACGTCTGAATGCTGTGGATGACATGAGTAGGCAGGGCTCTGAAACACAGCTCAGCAGCTGGAATGCAGTCGGTATGCAGACGGACTGGTTCAGATGTAAAAGGAAACGAGCCTCAGCGTCTCCTCGAGTACAAACTGGACCTCCCTCTGTGTCCACTTCTGTCTGACGAACAATAGAAAGAGGAAACGCAGAAAATGACTCTCCTTCCTCATGTGCCGAGGCTGCCGGGTGCGTTTGTTGGTGTTGTGATGGAAATGAGACTCAAAGGGTTTTGAATATTCAAAGAGCTGTTTGTGAACCTTCATTTACTGAATCTTTTTTTTAATTTCCTCCTTTTCTTTACACGCCCTGTCATGTAGCTTTAATCAGTGGTGTAGTGCACTTAAATCACACATCAGATCTTGATGAACAAATTATGCAAGTTGAAAGTCTTTACTGACGTACATCGTATAATTTGTGGAGAACAAAATGATGTAACAACAGTGAGTGGAAGCCAAAATCATCAACCCACTGAGGTGAGGGCTGGATTCAAAATCACACCAAATATCAAAGTAAGGAATTGAAATCACAGGCTGATCCAACTCCTGACGATGTCTGAGCATGTTTCTAATGAGTCGGCAGATGGTGTCCTGGGGGATCTCCTCCCAGACCTGGATCAGGGTATGAGTAAGCTCCTGGACCCAGGGCCAACTACACCAGGAGGAACCCAGGGCCAACTATACCAGGAGGAACCCAGGGCCCACTGCACCAGGAGGAACCCAGGGCCCACTGCACCAGGAGGAACCCAGGGCCCACTGCACCAGGAGGAACCCAGGGCCAACTACACCAGGAGGAACCCAGGGCCCACTGCACCAGGAGGAACCCAGGGCCAACTACACCAGGAGGAACCCAGGGCCCACTGCACCAGGAGGAACCCAGGGCCCACTGCACCAGGAGGAACACAGGGCCCACTGCACCAGGAGGAACCTGGGGCAAACTGCACCAGGAGGAACCCAGGGCCTGCTGCACCAGGAGAAACCCAGGGCCAACTGCACCAGGAGGAACCCAAAGACTCTTCCTAGTTGTTTTGTGTCTCTTTATAGTCGTTTTTTGTCTCTTCATATTTGTTTTGCCTATTTTTGTAGATATTTGCAGTCTCTTTGTGTCGTTTATGGTCTTCATGTGTCTCTTTGTAGTCGTTATGCATCTTTTTTGTAATCATTTTGTGTCTCTGGGGTGATTTTTTTTGTTTGTTTTTTTTGGTCATTTTGTGTCTTATTCTGAACATTTAGTGTCTCTTTCTAGTTGTTTTGTGTCTCTTTATAGTCGTTTTTTGTCTCTTCATATTTGTTTTGCCTATTTCTGTAGATATTTGCAGTCTCTTTGCATCATCTATGGTCTTGTTGTTTCTCTTTGTAGTCATTGTGCATCTTTTTTGTAGTCATTTTGTGTCTCTTTGTGGTTGTTTTTCCCATTTTTGTAGTTATTTTTAGTCTCTTTGTTGTTCCTTTGCATTCTTTTTTGTCTTTTTTGTCTCACTGTGGTCATTTTGAGTCCCTTGGTTGCAACATAATTTGCGCCATAACAAACTGACTGAACCAGATTTGATTTTAAGAACAATATGAACTTTATTTGCTGTAAAATTTTAGCTTACAACACACAAAATCATGAAGCAACAACGCAACACAAGTCATACAGAAAATATGAAACAGTAAAACAAGGCTGACACAGACACTAAACAAAGTGTGCTTGCGCCCTTTTAGCCTTTTAACCTCGTTGTGTTTACAGACAATATTCCTGCACAATGAGCTCTGTGTTTCCCGTCAGTTTTACGAGCACAGCTGATGGACTTCATGTGTATATATATTAAGTGTGTGCAGCTGATCTTTCTGCTCATGTAAAATGTATTTGATTGCCACTCAGGAAGCCTGTTAAAGGCCCATTACTCCATTTGAATGTCCTTAACAAAAGGACAAAAATAATGTTTTAGATTAAAAACAAACTTGTAGAGTTAAGACAAGTCATCGCTAACGTCCTGTAGCTCTCTGCAGGGGACTGCTGCTGACTAGTTCAGCTATTAACACATAAAACAGTCACTTATAAGTCAGTGGAGGAACAGCTGTTCACTTATTTCTTTTAAACATTAATTGATGGTGCTGCAGGCAGGCTGAACTGACCCACTTCACATTATAAAGACTGTGTTCATGTTTCACTTTAAGTTTCATGATTTTGTTGAAATTCATTTATTTAAGTGAGTCAGTAGACAAAAAATAACAATGAAAAGCCAAACTGATCTTCAAGGCTGAATGATATAGACTTGGGAAAGTTAAAAATATCTGACAACAGTATATTAAAAAAAAAAACAAAACAAAAAAAAAACCTCAAACTAGACAAACATGAAGGAGGCAAACTTAAAGACCTTCTGTGCACTCACTATGAGAATCTGTGGGCAGATTATGGGACAATGGG